TGCAAAACTAGTCTGTGATCATTGTGGCTACAATGGTCATGAGCAGAAGGAATGCTTCAAGCTTCATGGCTACCCTGATTGGTACAAAGAATACAAGGATAAAACAGATAAATGATATGCTAATCAGGTTGAAAGTGTTTCATCTGTTCCAAAAGGCATTGATATGGCCAGCCTAGCACAAGAATTGATGTATATGGGAGGCAAAGAGAAACTGGAACATGATCATCTGACAGAAGGAGTAAACTTTGCTGGTAATGTTGCCAATCCTAATCTTCACTTTGCATTGTCAATGTTTGAGAATATAGGTAAAGGTTCTTGGATTTTGGACACAGGAGCAATCAAACACGTGCACAAATAATTCTCTTTTCTTTGATATCACTCCCTTGACCAAGCCAATTTCAGTTTATCTACCTGATGGATCCCTTAAAAAGGTTACACACAAAGGAAAAGTAAAAGTAAATGATCATATCACCCTGCAGGATGTTTTGTATATACCATCATTCAAATTCAACCTTACGTCTGTTTCACAACTTGCTTCAGATTCAAACATACAATGCACTTTTACCCCTAATCTTTGCTTGTTGCAGGACCTTAAAGGTTGTGGAGTGGTAGCAGAAGGGAAGATAATAGGAAACCTTTATGTTTTGAATACCTCTTGTAACTCATCATTTGATACCAAAGTTCTGTCTCTGAATTCTGTTCCTTGTAATGCAATTGTTGAAAAATGGCACATATTGTTGGGACATGCTTCCTTGAGCACTTTGAAACATTTGCAATTTTTGAAATCTAATCTTTCTGCTTCTGATATTGATATTTTCAAAACATGTGAAGTTTGTGCTAGAGCCAAACAACATAGGAATTCTTTTTCTACTTCTTCTATTAAAAGTTCATCAGTGTTTGATATGATACATATTGATTTGTGGGGACCTTGCAGTGATGATAATATAAAGGGGATGAGATATGCCTTGGCCATAGTTGATGATTATAGTAGGGCCACTTGGCTATATCTTCTTAAACACAAGACACAGGTTCCCTACACTCTTTCTTCCTTTATTACACTTATTAAAAATCAGTTCCAAAAAACCATCAAAACCATAAGATCAAATAATGGGCTGGAATTTGTTAACCAAGAGTGCCAACAAATTTTTTCATTCCTTTGGCATTATTCACCAAAGAACATGTGTCTATACTCCTCAACAAAATGGGGTAGTTGAGAGGAATCATAGACATCTTCTAAAAACAGCTAGATCTCTCATGTTCCACTCAAAAATTCCCTTGTTCCTGTGGCCAGAATCATTACTTGCTGCTACTTACATCTTAAACAGAGTTCCAAACTCAGTATTGAATTGGAAAACACCTTATGAGATGTTGTATGGACATGTTCAAGATTATACTCTCCTAAAACCTTTTGGATGCCTTGCCTTTGCAGCTAATATATATCCTCATAAAACCAAGTTCACTACCAAATCATATAAATGTGTGTTACTGGGTTTTGAGAGTGGAGTTAAAGGGTACAAATTGTACAACATGGACACAGGGAAAATCATTGTTAGTAGAGATGTCAAAATCTCAGAGGATATTTTTCCTTATCATCAGGAACAACTACATGACCAAACACATATTCCTTTACCATCTATTCCAGTAATAGAAGATGATGGTTCTGTTCTTCCTATTTCAAATCCCAACCAACCAACAAACTCCATTCCTTCCACTAGACCTGCCAGAACCAGAGCAAAGCCAACTTGGCTTGATGACTATGTCACATGTTCCTCCACTGATCATCTTCCATCTGCTACCATTACTCAATCTGCTGAGGTTCTTTGCACAGGTAATCCCATTTCTTCTTAAACAGCATTCATCAAACACTCACCTGATTATATTGATTTTTTACACAATGTGTCTACTGTCCAAGAACCTGTCACTTATAATCAAGCAAAGACTAATCCAGAGTGGGTTAAGGCTATGCAACAAGAGCTTGATGCTCTTAAAAAAAATAATAGTTGGGATTTAGTACAGTTGCCGCCTGGGAAGAGACCTATTGGAAATAAATGGGTCTATAAGGTGAAGAGAAAGGCTGATGGGACTGTTGAAAGGCTCAAAGCTAGGTTGGTAGCAAAGGGCTACACACAGACCTATGGGATAGACTTTGTGGACTGTTTTTCCCCAGTAGCCAAGCAAGTGATTGTGAGACTATTCCTGGCCATTAGTGCTGCAAAGGCTTGGCCACTATGTCAGATAGACATCAACAATGCCTTCCTACATGGCCATTTAAAGGAAGAAATTTACATGGAGTGTCCACAGGGGTACTCAAAGCACAAAGATGGTGAAGTTTGTAAACTCAAAAGGAGCTTATATGGGCTTAAGCAAGCCTCCAGAGAATGGAATCAAGAATTCTGTGGTAAGCTGTTATCCTATGGATTTATCCAATCACAGCATGATCATTGCTTGTTCACCAAGTCTACAGGTCAAGACTTCATTGCACTACTAGTATATGTAGATGATGTACTTATTATGGGTCCAAGGCTGGAATTAATTGAAAGGTTGAAGGCTCATCTAGATGAAGTGTTTACTATCAAAGACTTGGGATTTGCTAAGTTCTTTTTGGGAATTGAGATTGCTAGGGGAGAGAAGGGGACTTTTCTGAATCAAAGGAAATATATTCTGGACTTGGTGCATGATATGAAGATGGATCACAGCAGAACTGCTGTCACTCCTTTCCCTCATGGTTTGGTTTTAAAATGTAAGGATGGAACTCCTCTAGCAGAGATTGACACTTATAGAAGATTGGTGGGGAGGCTACTGTACCTGAATCTTACCAGGCCTGATATCTCTTTTGTTGTGCAACAACTCTCTCAGTTTGTCAATGACCCTTATTCCTCACATTGGAGTGCAGCCACGCATGTTCTTAGATACCTAAAGGGCACACCTTCTCTTAGTGTGTATTATCCAGTTGCAAGTGACTTTAAATTCACAGCATATTGTGATGCTGATTGGGGAGCATGTCCAGATACTAGAAGGTCTTTAACAGGTTTTTGTATCTTCATGGGTTCTTCTTTGGTGTCTTGGAAGACCAAGAAACAAACCACAGTCTCAAAATCTTCAGCTGAATCAGAGTACAGGGCATTGAGTTCTACCACTTGTGAATTGCAATGGTTGGTGTATATTTCCCAGGACCTGCAGCTTCCTATCACTTTACCTATACCTCTGTTATGTGACAACCAATCTGCTCTGTACATTATGGAAAACCCGGTCTTCCACGAGCACACTAAGCAGTTAGACATCGATTGTCATTTGGTTAGACACAAGTTTAAGGAAGGTCTTCTTGCTCCCAGTCATATTCCTTCTTCACAGCAACCTCTTGGTGGCTCACCTTTCAAGTCTATGGTTTGCAAGTTGGGATTGACAAACTCCATTTGTCATCCCACTTGAGGGGGGTGTGTTGAATATATGATCTATGCCTATATGTTTTGGCTTTTATCATTTTTCCATTTTTCCTTTGTTTTTTTGTTTGCAGCAGTCTTATAGGCTAGTGTATAGTTGCTAGCCTTTATAAGTAAAAGCGTGTCTTCTGTCTTTAGTATAAATATGTAAACCGTTGAACATTTTGTGTGAGAAATATAGCATTTGAAAATTTTCCCCAAAATATCTTTTTCCTCCTGAACTTCAACAAAAGCCATTTTCATGTTGTTCGATTATTATTAAGTCGCAACAAGCAAGTCAGAAGGTCGTGGTTGGGGACCTAAGTGTTGCACGGTAAGGGAAAAAATCCAAATAAGAGGGAAAATATCACTTGCTAAGGAGACTTGCCAAGATAGAGATGTGGTAAGTTAGAAAATGTGATTTGATGAGAGGTCTTTCATAACAAGGACTCTCTTAGGCATCAAGATATCTGCTTCATTACGATATCTTATCTTACGCCCTAACCTTATTTTTTTCCAGTATATTATCATTGAACAAGTTCTGACTTAAGAGTTGCACGTTTTCCGTGGGTACTCCCTCTCGGCGTATTGCAGGTCACCGGAGCTCAAAAGAGAAGTTAACTCACAGTGTAGGCGGTTCAACCTATTTCAAAATCGAAGTGACACAACAGTTGCAATGCCCAGAATCTTGTTTATTGTTTTCTAAAAAATATAATTCGTTAGTATCTTGTTTATTATTTTCTAAAATACATATTATGTTCTCTTACCGCTTGCGGTTTATTTTGGAAATTTTTGACGGATTTTTTTTTTTTTTTTTTTT